ACATCGAAGGGCTCATCACTTGGTGTTTACTACTGAAATCTGCCTAGCTCAAGTGGAGTGGATACCGGTTTGCAGTTTTCCATTCCAAATTTCCCAAGCACTTTCTCCACGTAATTGGGCTGGCTTATTATCAGTGTTCTGCTCTCTCTGTCTCACTTGATGGACATTCCAAGGAGATAGTGGATTTCACCTTGGTCAACCATTTCAAATCTTTCACATAATGCAGCTTTCTCTGCTTTCGGCAATGCAGGTTCATTCAAGACTGGTCAAAACTGTAATGATGTTATCAACGTACACACCCAGTATCACGAAACTGATGCGATCATTGACGTCTTTCACGGATTTGACATAAATGCATCCATCAGCATTGCTCTTGTGATACCCAACCGATTTCAAATACTCATCTAAAGTAGTGTTCCAACAACAAGCTGACTGTTTAAGTTCATAAATGCTCTTCTTCAACTTGCAAACGTGATTTGGTCTGTCAGTATCAACAAATCCTTCTGGTTGTGACATGTAAATCTCACAGTCCAATGAACCATTCAGAAAGGCAGTTTTTACATCCATTTGATGTATTTCCAAATCATGCACATTAGCTAGCGCAAGCAACGATCTCACAGATGTGTTTCGGGCCACTGGTGAAAACACTTCGTCATAATCCACACCTTTCACTTGAGAGTATCCTTGTGCAACAAGTCTAGCTTTGAAACGATTTACAGAACCATTCTCGTCATGCTTGACTTTCAAGACCCAGCAGGATCCAACTATGTTTTTTCCTTCAGGTGGAGGAACTAGATCCCATGTATTGTTCATCAATAAGTATGGGTTATTGACCAAGTGTGAGGTCAAGATTGCTGGATATTGGCCAAGTTCCTTTTTTGCGTGTTTATGGACCGAGACGGAGTTGAGGTCCATAAACTCGCAAAAGAAGAACGAGGCCAATATCCAGCCATCTTGACCGAACAAGCTTGGTCAATAAAGGATTTATTATATGGTTTTCGCGGAAATTTTTCTTGCGGGACACGGCGGGGAGTCCCGAGCGGGCAAGATAGCTCCATCTTGCTCGCTCGGGTAGCCAATCACAGCGCAGGATTTGGTTCATCTTGACCGCTCTCGGAGCTAGCCATATAATAAAGCCGAGTACTAGTGTAGAGTCATGCACGGAGTTCGTAGGGAAAGCTAAGTAACATAGTCCTTGAGGTAAGCCGGGCGACTAGTTGGACGGCCAGACCGGCGTGGACCAGATGAGAAGGCAGACTCCGAGATAGGGGCATCAATATCGTCAGACACGCTTCCGCCCGGGGGAGGAGAAGACTCGGGCACAGGAGGATTGTCAGTCTGAGGATCTGGTGGAGTAGCGAGCTCGCTAGGGACTAAAGCAGGGGCAGGATTCGGAGTGATCTGAGGGGTAGGAACGTGAGCGAGTTCCCCGTTAACGTACCCAGAAGTAAGAGACCCTTCGTCGATATCTTCAGGGTCGGAATCGTAGTTGTAACAGCGAGAAAGGTTAGACGTGGTCTCTG